TCAAAATTGTCAAGGTCATCTCATCAGAAAAAAGCAAAGCCTAAGAAATTTTAACAGCCAAGAGTTGCTAAGAAGATACGATGACTAAATGTAATATGGTATCCTGGATGGGATCATGGAGCAGAAAATGACATTATGTAAAACTAAGGAAATACGAATACAGTAAGGACTTGAACAATGATATATCAATATTAGTTCATTAATTGTAATAAATGTACCATACTAACTTGACATGTTATTAATAGGGGAAATTGGCTCTGGGTACATGGAATTTCTCTATAGTAGCTTCTCAATTTTGTCTAAACTTAAAACTTCCCTAAAAACAGTCTATTATTGGGGGGCCTGTACTGATAGCTCAGAGCCTGGAGCCTGCTTTGGATTCTCTATCTCCCTCTCTCTCTGCCCCTCCCCCACTCACACTCTGTCTCTCACTCTCAAAAATAAACATTAAAAAAAATTTGTTAAGTCTATTATTAAAAATAATTTAGATTATAATCTAGTCTACTGAGAGAACAAAAATAAGAATTCAAAATCTGGGAGATGGTGTCATAATAGATCTTTCATTTAGAAGTGAAATATGTACATTTTTAGCTACATAAATAATTATTTTAAGTAGTTTTAAAATAAAATGTAAATGTAAAAAACATGAAAAAGAAAATGTGCTATGTAAAACATGAACAATTTAACAACTTAAGAACACAAATACAGGTTGAACATCCAGGGATATATTAGCAAAGTATAGGGGGGAAAGTTTTGGGAGTATAATACTGGGTAAAATTGGGGTGCCTGGGTGGCTCAGTCAGTTAAGCGTCCGACTTTGGCTCAGGTAATGATCTCACAGTTTGTGAGTTCGAGCCCCGTGTCAGGCTCTGTGCTGACAGCTTGGAGCTTGGAGCCTGCTTCAGATTCTGTGTCTCCTTCTCTCTCTGCCCCTCCCCAACTTATGCTCTATGTCTCAAAAAATAAATAAATGTAAAAAAAATTTTAAAAATAATATTGGGTAAAATAAAATCTTGCTAATTTGTGCCCAAAAGACAAAAAGATTCCCAAGACTCAGTTTTCCTTGAATATGAGAATTTGAGCAATATAAAGGATGCTTTTTTATTCCAAATTGCTACAAAATTTAAAAATCAGGGCAGTATCTATGAGAAAAGCAAACAGTAGGCAAATATGAAAAATAGAAAGCAAAATAAAAATGACAGCTGTTAGATCAAAAGTAGCAGCCATGAATCTAAACAGAAGTTTTAAAGTTACTTATTAAATTCCAAGATTATAAATTTGGGTTAGAATTCTGCTTTCTGGAGAAATAAGATTAAAAAAAAATACTGAAATATCAAACAGACATAAAAATTATCAGAAAAAAACCTGTAAGATAGAGCAGAATGGCAATATTTATCTAAGGTAAACTGGAAATTCAATCACAGGAATACAATTGAACCAAAAATTATTCTAACTGATGAACATACACTATTTCTAAAGACTCGGGTCAAAAATTTATTGTATACTCCTTAAATGATATAGCCTACTCAAACAAATTCAGTATATAGAGCCATTTTTTAATTTTAATTAAATGCTGAAGCACTCAAATACTCTATTAGAAGTCTAATATCTTCCTTTTGAAGACCTCACCCAACACTTCAAATACTGTATTCTTTTTCCACATACCAACCAGAGGAAGCCAAAGATCAGTTCACCACCTCCACTGCTTCTTGTTGACAACAATGCTGTTCAAGACAGATTTTGCCCTCTGTCAGGTCAGTACTTAGGTTTCCCTGGTTTCTGGATAGTCTGGCATGTTCTTAATGTACACAACTGGGATCTGAAGGGAAGAGACTTCAACATCATTACAGAACACATCTACTGCTATAGAGTGACCCTGCTCAGACAATCTTCTTATATCAAAATCACATTGTACCAGAGAAACCCTCCTAGACATTTTATGACAAAAATTTGCCTCCATGCCATCATAAGACTTTTGATGTCTGAAAACACTATAAACAAAAGTATAATGGAAATTAAAAAAACAAAAACAAAAAAATAAAACTGGAAAAAAGGGCCATGAAATAAGTAAATGACACAAGCACCCTACCCCCAAACACAAACATGCACCCACACGCACAGAAGCGCACACACACAACTATGAGGCACATGGGAAAATGCTTAACCTCTTTGGTAGGAAAAGCCATGAAAATTATAAACATACATACTTTTACTCAGTAAACTGGTGAATATTTGAAAAATAATACTCAGTTATAACAAAGATCTGGTGAAATGGGCAGTGTCACATTCTGCCAACAAGTGTGAACTAAGGAGAAATTTCTGTGAGCCAATGGAAATAAGTGTCTAAACCATTTACAATGTTCCATGAACCCAATGTGTAGAAATCCATCCCATAAACATAGTTGGCAATGCACCAATTGAAATATAATGTGCTTACGGTAGTTATTTTTGAAAATAGCAGAACCATGGAAAGCAATCTGTCTAGTTGAAAATGTTAGAGTCTCCAAAAACAGAAGACCCACTGGTGATATCATTTTCATTGTTTTCAATTTGTTTTTCATCTTCACCATTTTTGTTTTGTTGTTATTTATGACTTAAAGGTTCAAATGTTAAAATACCTAAAAAATGAGCATCATACATATGGTATGTGTACAAGTATAGTCGTAAATATATGGTGGTAATAGCTACAAAAGAACTGAATGATAGCAGATCAAGAGTGATAAAGTAATACTTGAAGGTAATATGATTTACTAGGTTGTGTTAAGATAGCTAGTGTTGCCTATTAATTTTGTTCATCTCAGTGGAATTTGGTGTTGTCTTAGCAAAAAAAAAAAAAAAAAAAAAAAAAAAAAAAAAAAAGTATCACCTTGGGCTCAGGAATGCATATAAATTTCTTCCAGAAAGAGATGTTAATTATGTATTTTTTACTTTTGAAAACCACCTGTATGATGTACTTTTCAGAACTGTATTACCCTCATAAAGATGAGGAAAATGGTCTGTATGGCTACTTGGGTCAATAATGAGCATCATTGTAACTCCAAAGAATCTTCCAGTATGTTCCCACTCAAAGATGTAGATGCCACTGCCCCTTACAAAAACCAGACTTACCCAGGGGAGGAATGGATACACAGAGGTAGCACATATTTTTTTTTTTTTCCATTGTAATACCCCAAGCTTGACTTTAGGTAGAACACTGAATTCACTACTCAGCTTTCACTCTCAACAAGGACACGAGACTATACCTAAGTTAACTGATAAAAACTTGAGTTTAAAAATCACGTTTAGATTAAGATCTACAAGTTAGTATTCACTTGATAACTACTTTTCGAATGAATAATGGGTCCCCACCTAACATTTAAGACACAGAAAATGGTGGGGAGACAAATAAAGGGCAGTGAGATTTCACAGAAAAACCACCAAAGACAGGGGCCTAGTGTGGGATGTAACTTTTTCTCCTCCTTCCTAGTCATTTCTCATAATGATTATTGAAATGGCAGGCCTATGCTGGCCGACTCCATTTTGCTCTGTGTCCTTCACCTTGACCACGCCTCCTCCCCTTGAGTAACCTCCCGCTCACCTGCCTAACAGGACTCCGACCCTTCCCCAGCCAATCGGCTGAGGCCACAGCCATTACCTCACCAACTGCCCCTAGGCCCCAATAAAACCTTTGTCCTTTTGAAACTCGCTCTCTCTCCCCGGTATCTCACCCCTGCGTTGGTGCAGGTAGGGGATTGAGCTCGAGCTAGCTCGAATAAAGGCTCTTTTGCTTTTACATCGGACTCGGCTCCCTGGCGGTATTTGGGGATCACGAATTCTGGGCATAAAATTTGGGGGCTCGTCCGGGATCCCCAAGACCCCCGAGGGACCCCCGACCTGGAGAGCCTGACTGGCCACGTTTAGTGTCTGTTCGTCCCATCTTTTCTGTGTGAGCTCATTTTTGAAATTATGGTAGTGCCCGACGCGGTCTAAGTGGACGCACTGGAGGACCAC